CAAATTTTTTATTCCAAAATGACATCATGACTTCTGCATCTCTACACTTACTATGCGTACGCGCAAAGATTTACGAACTTGGAATCAGATTTGTGGTACTATTTGTTACTTTATTTTCGTGGACAATACTTATTTATAAGATTCATGCTACTTTTATTATATTCTGCTTGTCTTGATATAATTGTGTATTGTGTAAAATTGAACTGTTGTTTTTTATATTTTGCTTGTTTTGATGAAGTGGATAGGTACTAAGTCTGTAGATTCTACACTGGAGCTTTTGAAAAAACTTTATTTTGTTGTTCGAACTTGCAAAGAGTTACTCTTTTTCAAGATTACCCCATTTACGGGATTAAGGTTTGAAATGTCTATCATTAAGGCAATGATATACACTACGTGATAGCAGAGAAAAGTATAAGGGAGGTTATGAGGGAATGGTTGTTATACTTGACATTTGTTATTAATCCGTTATTGCAAATCAAGGAATGCGTTTTGCTTGACTTTCTTATAAGGAAATATTGACAAAGTTTTTCCTTATTGTCTTAATCTGACATGGCCGGATGTTGTATGACGGGTTAATTAGGGATAACTTGTTATACACATCGTCAAATGTAGGAAATCCATGAATAGACATTTGTGGTGGAGAATGATTTTCTTTAAGCTTAGAGCATCTCCAATGCTATAATGTCCACGTTGCATATGTGGCATGAGTGATAGCCACATAAATATTAGCAAATAAATTATTTCTCTCCTTATTTGAATGATTTTATACAATTTTGGCAAGTTTTTTCCTGCAATGTCAACAACAATGTCAACATCTAGACGGTCTCCTTGACATTGTAGAGAAAAACTTACCAAAACTGTATAAAATCATTCAAATAAGGAGATAAAGAATTTATTTACTAATATTTATGTGGCATGGGAAATAGCCACATAAATATTAGTAAATAAATTCTTTATCTCCTTATTTGAATGATTTTATACAGTTTTGGTAAGTTTTTCTCTACAATGTCAAGGAGACCGTCTAGATGTTGACATTGTTGTTGACATTGCAGGAAAAAACTTGCCAAAATTGTATAAAATCATTCAAATAAGGAGAGAGATAATTTATTTGCTAATATTTATGTGGCTATCACTCATGCCACATGTGCACCGTGGACATTATAGCATTGGAGATGCTCTTATAAGTTACTCCGTATGACAAATTGATATTAATAATGATATACTGTTATACGAAGTACTACGTACATTATTTATACCTCCATTCAATTTGGGACTGTCTATACTTAGATTGAATATTTTTGATCTGATATGGTTTGATGTGATCTGATCTGGTTTGGTATGGTTTTGTTAAGACCCGGGGTTCCATCCTAAAAGATCAACCTTATAGGAGGAGTAATCCACATCTTAATATAGCACCTAAAGCATTCACAAATATCCGGTGTGGGAATTCAACACCTCTCCTCATGACCAGACACTTCGTCTGGATCGTGCCGTCATTCATTTTTTGGTCGTTCGTCATTGTCATTTTTTATAATCATGTCGTCATTTGTCATAAGGGGCCCCGCACCATAGATCGATTTGGCTCTGATACCATGTTAAGACTCAGGATTCCATCCTAAAAAGTCAACCTTATAAGAGGAGTAATCCACATCTAATATAGCACTTAAAGCTTTCACAAATATCTGATGTGGGAATTCAACAGGTATGATCCAGTAAATGTTTGGTCTCTGTGTATTTTATAATTGTTCAAGTCTGATATGATCTGATCTGGTTTGGTATGATCTGGTCTGGTCTGAGACTGAAAACACACCAAGTAAAAACATCCTTGATCATATGAGGATAACCCATGTGTACATAAATCGGGGTTTTTAAATGTAAGGTATCAAACTGGTGCAAACAATTCGATAATTGGCCCGTTAGTTTTACGCGATGACTTAACGAACTAGACTTAGGGTCTGTTTACTTGTGACTTAATGAGTTTAATGGAAATTTGGACTTATTCGCTCAGCCATATAGTGTTGTTTACTTGTGACTTAATGAAAACCATGTCTTATTCGCTCAGACATTTTAGGACTTATTGATTCAATTCAGCACAATTTTAATACTCCTTAGCATTCAGACCTAATTTTACATCAGATTCTCTTTTATAACCTTGCCTAGATTTATAGCTGTGGCACATCTCACCTCTAAGCTTCACCCATCTGCGAGCTTCAGCCATCTGCGGCATATCCAAGATTGAACGTAAGCTTTGTGTTTGAAACCCATATCCAAGATTGAACGAAAGCCTCTGCCTCGTCTTGATCATGTACTGATTCTCTTCATTGTCTTTGTAAATTTGTAACCTGAAAATCTTGTTCTTCTGAGACCTCTGTTTAATTCCATATCTGGGTGTTAATTATTTTGTAATTTTTGCATTCGCATTAGGAATCCATTCGAATTTGATACGGTAAAATAGGGCTTACGAATCACTTACGAATCTGGATGTTGGAACATAGTAAGCTTCTGGTAAAATAGGGCTGTAAAGTAATTGGATAGTGCTCTCTTCTATGTAAAATGCTCTCTGCTTTGTAAAATAGGGCCGAACATGCTCTCTGCTTTGTGGAACTAGAATTTGGATAGTGTTTAAGATTTTGAAATTAAAATTACTTTCGAAAAAGCTAGTTTGTTTAAGGTGTTGATTTTTTTTGGAAAATTTAATGTGTTGATTGAGGAAAGGGGAGCAACTACTAGTTTTAGCTTTTCCCAGATTGTAAATACAAAATCAGCAAAAAGATAATATAGAATCAGCACCTCTTACATGCAGAAGGATAAATTGGTAAAATGACATAATTCAGACTATACATTCAGCACACATAGTAAACAACTGGTTATACTAGTGTCACTTATTCCAGTCAGACGTCTTAATACAAACGGACGTCTTAATCCAGACAGGACTTAATAGGAAAAAATGTAAACAAGCCCTTAGTTGTGTGCAGTGAGGCCTTCTCCACTTGTTAGCATCGTTGATTCGTTGGTATAACTGTTTCTGCCAAGTCTAAATATGTTCCGTACGAATTTGTCTGGGCATCTTTGTCTATTGACAACTTAGATTGCTGATTCTGGCAATCGACTAATCTAATGTATTTACATAGGGAAAATGCGAACATATTTTATCTATATAGAGGTACAATGAAATCCTATTACACAACATCATCTAAGTCTTATTACAAATTATTCCTTACACATATATATGACTCTATACTGTGATGTCCTATATGACTACAAAATGTATAGTCCTATGTGATAATAATTTAAAATCCTGAGACAATAAATGTAGATAGCTACTTCGATCATGATGTTCTAAACCATTAGGTAACAATTTGCTCAAATTGAATGTTTTGGTTTGGATTCACAGAAGTTAACCCTTTCGTGATAATTTTGTCAACTTATACAATTTGGTTCGGTATTCAACTGAAAAGCCCGCCAAGATCCTATGAGTACCACCGCCATCGTAACAACTCGGTGGAATAAATCTGTCATTATGTTGGCAGATTTAGACTTGGAGATTAGATTAACATCTGCCATAAACAAGAGTCTTAGATATGTCAAAGCGTTGGCAGATTCATGTTAGAATATTAACACAAAACTGCCATAAATTTGGCAAAATTTTAAAAAACGTGAAGTAAATAACTAAATATTCAAACAAGTGAAGGTTTTTAATGGAATAAAATATTTAGCACAACCGGAAATTAGAAAAACGAAGCTATTGACAAAAAAAACATAAAAACCAATTTATACAAAAGCATTTATGCCATAATATGATGTCAATGTAAACATTTCCGCCATAAACTTGACCAAATCTCAAGCAATCATCCAAAACGTTTGAAAATCGAGTTTTTTTAAAAACTCAGAAACCAAAAACCAGAAAATCAAAATAGAAATCCGAAAATTGGAGAAATCAATTCGAAATCGAGAAAAATAAAGGAAAATCGAAGAAGGGGAAGGAGAGAAGGAGAACTTGAATGACAGCGACGCGCGTGATATCATCAACGTCGGCGACGTAAAAGAGAAGTCAGTCAATCTGGTGCGCAGGGCAAAGTCGGTGACGACGGCGATGGCCAGAGTGAAGTCGATCAATGAGGGGAAGAAAGGGAAAGACGTGCACAGGAGATAAGGTGGAAGGAGTTGTGGGCAGGGGGAGTGGAGAGATGTACCGATAAGGATGAAAGGGTAATAATGGTATGAAATATACATATGTTTTAAAATAGGAGTTAAATAGTCCTATTTGGGAGGGAAAACCTACATGGTCTTATTTAAAAATTTCTCCCCTCTTTTAATCCTATATGAGACAATTACTTATAATTATTTGCAATTTAGGCGGCGATTTGAGTAATCTCCATATGTAAAAGTAGTAATTTTTTAAACTTGGGCTTCAATTTAATATACTCCCTCTCTGTATTTATATATTTTCTACAATAGTTTTTTGCACAATGTTTTAGGAGAATATAGTAGGGGTAATGAATAGATTAGAAAAAGTAGGAGAGAAAGTGGAAAAATAGGAAAGAGATAATAAAAAATAAAAATGAAAGGATAATAGACCAAACTCTAACAAACTTTAAAATAGGCTTTAAAATAGGAAGGGAGTATAATAGCCGAGGATAAACCAAATTCTTAATTGATGCGCATGATCAGTGTTGGCATCGCCTTTGGGTTACCTGTGGGGCCGAACTTGAAACTAGTTGTAGGTACATAGGTACGTCTATTTGTGATTCTTAGAACATGAGAAATCTATTTTTTTTGGAAACTCAAATGGTGTTATTGTGTAATGCTAAATTTATATTTTTATTAATAGCGTTAGAAATCCATTGCACGCCTACGCCTCACTCAAACTCGTCTAGGTTTCAAAGGTTTGAAACTTGATTGTGCAGTCTCGGCACGTCTTATACCTTTTAGAACACTGCGCATAATACATACTCCGTAAACTATTTCCATAAGTTTTTTTTTCTATTTATTATTTAGATATTGTTACTCCGGTTAAACTTCAATTCCAAGCATGCAAGCACGTAGAGAAAGAACATCTACAGTGGTGACTCTTCAATATTTACTCTATTAAGACTAATAATTTCTACATATAGACATTATCTAGCTAATTGCATACTATGATGATAAAGTACGCTTTGATCTTGACCATGAGATCGATCATCACTACATACAACATTCTACGGATATATTAATATATCCCACGTACACCACATATTACATATACAGATATGCTTAACACTTGCAAAAAGTTAAAGTTATTCCACATGGCAATTGACACCTATACCCTTGGTGTCACTGATATTGGAATGCAACATGGTTCACGTAAATTGGCTGGTTGGAGATGCTGCTACCTTGGCTATATTGCTGCGGAGTTTGACCAATGGCAAAAGTGACATTTCCACCACCGCTCATGCATGGGTTTTGATTATTATCATCAAAATTTGCGTTTTGGGAAATTGATCCAAAATAATATTCTAGCTCCCATAAGTGTGTTAAGGAACATGGCCTTTGCAATATCAAACCTTGTGGTCCCCTAGCAATGTTCACAACCTCACAATTGGGTGCAATTTGGGTTTGGGTTTGGGTTTGGCTTTGGCTTTGGGTATCCATTTCACCTTTCGCCATCTCAATAGCTCTATTTCCCACACTCATCTTTTTGTAAATTCTACATAACACCCAATCATCCAGCTGAAAAACACACCACATCCCCATTAATACAAGTCATCCACCATGAACATGCTTGTAAAATTAAACAATTATTGCTGTCAATATTTCGTTCTCACTTAGCATGTCCATAATACATTGATTTTTAGATTCAAAATTTGTTATACTCCGTATAAACTAAGAGTAAAATATAGATAAAATTTAAAAATAAGATCGATTACAAGTATGTTTTATTTCAAAAAATATGACTAATTTAGTCCTAATAAAAAATAAATGAAGTTAACTTCTCGATCTTCAATTCGAGCGGAGGAGTTTTTTTTGGACGAAACAATAGTAGTTCATCTAAAATATCATTTTAGATAGTGTACAAACTTTCATCACTAGAGAGCAATCACCACTGGACTATCGCCCGATCTCCGCGAGTCCGCCACCTCTAAATCGTAAGAGGAGCTAGTGATCGATAAAACCATGAACCTACCTTAATTAAGGGTATATTTTAGACTAATTTACATTATTGATCTTTCATAACTAAGGGTCATATAAGACCTACTTAAGTAGTAACCCTAGGTGGTCCAATTTTCAGAAAAATGCTCGCTGAGTTTTAGAATTATGAAGAGCAATTGTCTCCCAAAACAACAATGATTGTCTTATTTTAAGGAACTATGTTAGTTATACTACATACCATATATAGCATGTAATATATGTTACCTCCTTATTGGAAAAAATTCTTTATTTTTTAGCATTAAGCTAAAGCAAGCTGAATAGTTTATTTTTAGTAAGCTAGTTTCTCTTAATAAATTCCAAATGTATAACCAAAATAGAAGTAATAATGAACAAAAATGTGAAAATAGTAACTTTAATGACTATAGTTGTTTTCAAATGTTACATCTAGTGATTATAAAACTTATTCATAGTACGGAGTAATTTATAGTCACATTTTTCTCCATAGATTTTATATTAGTACGGACTAAGTAGTAATATTTTAGGAAAAACTTCATAATTTAATACATATGAGTTAAGTAATACTCCGTAATATAGATGATCATCATCATTACGATCAAAGACCGAGAGCAAACACAAAACTCAAAATAGCATGGTGGCGTAGGGAGTATATCTGTATATGTCTAGGCTCCATTAAAAAAGATTAAATTACGTACATATCCTAGACTATAATCTCGCGAACGACTCAATAGTGTTGTACTTAAACTATCATGTCATTTAAGTAATTAAGATGACTTGGTAAATTAAAGAAGAGAAGAAAAGGTTAAAAAGTTGTACTAATAAATATTTTTTTGTTTGTATAAAATGTCACATGTTATATATGAAACAATAATGAAGCATTGAGAGTGGAATTCTAGGTCATTTTAATATTATAACATACATAAGTCTTATAAGAAGGTAGCTAGTGAACTTACCCTCATGGATCTGTTTTGCTTGGGCGGTTGTGAAGGTGATTCATTAAGGCGATACTCATGCATGATCCAATCAGTCTTTATACCCTTAGGTGGCTTACCTTTGTAGAACACAAGAGCCTTCTTTACACCAACATATTTAGAGCAACTATAGATGGCCTTATCCGTGCCTGTAGCTTTCCAATAACCCGAAACCGCTGCCCTATTAGGTCGAATACCGTTCGGGTACTTCCTGTCCCGAGGGGTGAAGAAGTACCATTCATTTTCTCCGAAATCCGCCCGCTCTACACAAAGTTAATAAGTAAATTGTACGAAGCATATATAATGAAAACCGAAACCGAACCAAGTTCCGTTAGTCGATCAGTTTCAGCTATTACAGTCGGTTTTGGCATGCTTCATTCGGTTTTGGTTTGTATGGTCAATTTTATATTTAAATCTCAAGCCACGAACCGAGTTACCTATATATGATGGAAAAAGCTGTTTGTATACTAAGTTGTACACAACCCTTAGTTGCCTATGTACACAACAGTTTGTTCAGAAACTGCATGCCTATGTATACAAGTAACTAGGAGTATGTACATGAAATGTGTACAACTTATGTGTACAAGTAACACTGTCGTTGATTTGGTCAGTTCTCGACGGAATGAATGAGTTTTGATCAGTTCGGTTTTAATAAGTTTATCGTTCAATTTCAGTTTATCGGCTTTTTTGTTCAGCCCTCTAGTGCGTGTGTGTGTATAACACAAAATTATGTACATATATATACTAACCGGGTAATTCCCAAGGATCAAACTTATAAACATCAACTTCTGGGATAATAGAGACTGGGCAAGGCCTTGAAGTTGATTGGTTTCGAAGATAATAGATGATTAGTTCCTCATCAGTTGGATGAAACCTAAAACCAGGAGGAAGGTCACCCCTCTTTTGAGCTACCATTTTGGGATCTTTTTCTTTCTTTTTTGGGTGGTTGGAGACATTAAAGAAACTGCCAGAAGTGTTTGAAATGTTTTTGCAACGAGAGAAATGGGCAATTTATTAGCGAGGGTTTTTGTCTTTTACGTTGAGGATTAGGAACATGCGTTATTGCATTACACTTTTCTATCTACTATTTTTTTCTACCAATAAATAGCATATATCCAATAATGGACCAGTCTCATTCTGCCACTATATAAAGAGAATTATTATCTATGTAGCACAAGCCCACCGTTTTTGTATAGACTAGCTAGTACTTCTCATTCATATCTATATGCATGATATATAAAATAAATAAATCTATATATGGATAAACAATGATGATATATATCTTGATGTATACATGCCCACTCATTAAAAGGTCATGATTCATAGAGCTCCCGGATTGGTCCATTTGGCCGATTGGCTAGACTTGAAACCCAAGAACAAATAATTTTATCTGGTGGTTGTTAAAGTATCTATCCACATGCACCATCCGTGTAAATTATCTAATAAAACAATTTTGAACAACTCATCCGTGTAAATAATTTTATCTGGTGGTTGTTAAAGTATCTATCCACACCATCCGTGTAAATTATCTAATAAAACAATTTTGAACAACTCAATCCTATCAGAATGATTTTTTAGGATTGAATTTCGAGGTTAACATGATATCAGAGTTGGATCGGTTGAGATTTTATTATTTTTTAGCACCAATGATTAATGGTATTTCATTAAGAGTCAATTTGGCCTATTTATACACCCAGGCGGTGTCCATTTCATATCAGTTTGGGCTAAGGGAACGTGTTGAAACATTTGCCCAATAGGACATTGGTATAATATAATAAAACAATATTCCCTATGTCTTTAATTGTTCTTCCATAGTACAAATCACACATAGATTAAAAAATTGTGTACTTTGTGGTGGAGAATTATGCAGATGAGAGAGAAATGTGTCATAAATGTACGTTGTGAATTACAAATTCTTTATCAAAAAAGAAAAATAAAAGTTCTTTTGAAATGAATGAAAAAGGAAAGTTGAAAGTTCTTTAGGGATGGAGGGAGTATAAGATTACGGGTTACATCTCCTCTTATTAGGTTGATTTTTAGGAGGAAAATGGCAATCTTAACCGTTGCCACTTGCCACCTGACTTTGACCAAAAGGCCATAAAAGATTTATTCGGTTGTTAAAGTGGACTCACACGATTTTTATGGTCAAACTGTCCATCATCTGTGCTCATGGGATTGCCCATGCAAACTGCTATAAACTCACTGTCTCACTGCTCATTACTGTCTTAGAATTTAGCTCAAAATAAACTTGCATTAATTAACTAGAAGCATTGTTCTTCAATTACAGAATCTCCTTATTTTGACATTTTGTAATGATGATGCTATTATGTTGTAGAGGTGGACCGTGGATGGGTCGGGGCCTATATTTGCCTCCTAGCTACGCCCCTATGTTAAAGCGAGATTAGATTCAAAATTTGGAAGTAAAAGAACTATCCTACAAAAGTATTGAAAATGAAAATGGCATAATCCAAAATTAACTAAATGTCTAAATTCAGTGCTCTGCATTGTGGAAAGTTAAGGAAAATCATACCGTAAGAAAAGAAAATTCAAACTCACCACATCATGAAAGTTCAGACAATGCAAAACAACTACACAAACACACAAAGACACTCACACCAGTCACACATATGGTTCAAACAATTTTCCAATAATATAATTAACAATTGAAAGACGGATCAAATAATGTACATTTTTCTTAATTAACTTAATTAAAGTATAAAATAATTAAATAACATATGATATTTTTGACAATGGCGTTTTTATATAGAGGGTATAGGGACAAGTTCATAATCCAGAGATGATTGTGGTTAGGATGTGTTTTAATTGGACTACTTTCAATCCCAAACCACACCAGATTAGACTTATATAGTTATAAAATACACAAAGATCAGACATTTACCAAAACAGACAAGACGAGTTCAGATCAAACCAGATCAAACCAGCCCAGAAAATAGTAAAAACATCTTTAGTACAAAGTCAAAGTCATGCACATTTAGAATAACTCTAGCCTCATAGACACTACTTCCGACCCATCTTGATGAGTTCCAGTTTATAATTTGAATGATATATGTAACTCTTTGTTTTTGGAACAAAAACTTTATGTATTCAGTGATGGAGGGAGTGGTAGAACACTAGAACTTCGACTCTCTAGATTGGGAGGCATCAATTATGATACGAAGTAATTTATAGGACTACTTTTGCCCAATGAGGTTACCTTATGAGCAGGCCCGGCCCAGCCCATGTGCAAGTGGTGCAACTGCACAGGGCCCCATTTTCAGGAGGGCCTCCAATTTTTTTTGTCAGTGTTAAGACTAGGCCCAGTAGGGAAAAAATTGTCCAAGCAGCCAACCCCATAGAAGCCCGCTGCTGACTAGCGACGCGCTTCATCATTCATATACACGGTAAATTTCCTTCGGTCATCGGTCGACAATTTCCTAGGATACTTAAACGACTAAGAGAGAATCGAAACAATTTTCGAGGAGACTATGGAGTAGGAACGGTGTTAACCTTAATTTTTATAGTTAGGGCTTTAATGCTAAATATAATTGAACAATCTGCTTCAAACAACACCGCCATATATCCCAATATTCCGATTTGTTCAGTTCTTCTTCCCACTGACCTTATTTCTTTAATCTTCGTTTTGATTTACTGAATTCTTTCGGACTTCAGAGTAATTGATGAAACATGGAATACGATTTGTGACGCCTAGAATCTTGATTCCCTTGAAACCAGCCACTAAGAAGGGCGGTCGCCTCCTCCTCGGGCAGGAGAGGCTAAGACGTCAAGGCTCAAGCAGTGAAGTGGTGAGCCTGCGCAGACCCGTAGAGCAGCAGGGGTGAAGGGGAATCTTTTTTCAGGTGTTTTTGTCAATTCTTACTTTTGGATTCTGAAAATTTTACACATAGTAAATTGTAATGCATTATGGCCTTAGAAAATTTGAATACGGACACGAATAGGATGTAAAATATGTAGTATTAATGTATAATTATTAGCCTTACAAGTTTTGTAGGGAGCATTATCTGTAGTACTGTATATGTTAGGGCCTTCTATTTTTTCTGAACAGGGCCTTCATTTCGTTGGGGCCGGGCCTGCTTATGAGTAAGTGGGGAAATTATTAAGAAAAATGGATTTATGTGATTGATATTTATTTGATGAAATGTAAATAATGTAGAAGTAATTGGAAACATAAAAATTTTATGAAATATGATATGCCACATAATAGGTGAGACAGATGATAAATGAAAGGTAGTATAAGTCTTGCTTTATTTTAATAAAATCTATCTAAATGAAAAAAAGAAAGGTAGTAGGATGAAGGGCAAAATAATTAAAATACCCCAAATTTTGAAGGGGTGTAAGGTAAATACCCCGAACTTGCATATGTAATTTTTATATAAAGAGTTTTGTTAGCACCATGATCATATAATTTTCACCATAAATTAAATGATCATAAATTTTAAATTTATACATGATATGGTGCTAAAATGATTTTTTATGTAAAGTTTGGGGTATTGAAATTACACATGCAAGTTTGAGATATTTATCTCACACTCCTTCGAACTTTGGGGTATTTGAATTATTTTCCCCTAGGATGAATAGAGTATATCACATTGTTTTTGTTTGTTGTATCTTGTAATCGTAAAGGCCAAATAATAATTTATTTGACCATTTTTCTAATTAACATTCATTAATATTTTGTAATAAATTGCATTTCCTTTGTAATACACGAATGAAAGTGCTAGTACAATTTATTTAGGAATTTATATTTGGGTTACAATTTTCTGATCTGATCCGGTCTAGTATATAAATTTTCTGATCTCCATATATTTTACAATTGTCAAAGTCTAGTTTGGTTTGATATGATCTAATCTGGTCTAATCTAAAATAAGTCTAATTATAAACATCCTTAAAATGTACTCCCTCCGTTCTTTAATATTAGTCCTCTTAGGCTTTGGCACGGGTTTTAAGAGGAAAGTAGTAGGGGTAGTGTCAAAAGTGTAATGAGTAGTGGATAAATGAAAAAGTAGGAAAGAGAAAAGGGTAATGGTAATAAAAGTTGGGGTATAAAGGTATATTTAGAGTAAAAACTTTCCTTAAATGGAAAGGAGGACATATAAAAAAAATGTCCCAAAATGGAAAGAATGACTAATAAAAAAGAACGGAGGGAGTATTTCACAAATACTTTTAAAAATTAGAATGTTTTTAATTGGACTGAAATTTTCCAGTCTTGTCTTATTATGTCTAGCAAATTTAAATCTGGCTCAATTTGAATTGGCCTAGTTTGATCAACTAAATGATTATTTTATGTGTATTTTACTATAGTTGAAGTTTGATCTGTTTCAGTTTGATATTCAGTCCAATTAGATGCAAGATGAGATGTAATTTTATTGGCTTGCTTTTCATAATGGGCCCTCAAGTCTGTTTTAGACTTTCAGCCCATACCAGAAATAAATCGTAGGTGAGTACAAATCGTCAAATGTATTAGGGGGTTTAACATTAGGGAGGTTTATGATAGACAGATAGAGCGGCCATGGAAGACAACAAATTCTCCACTGCGAATCCAAACCCCAGCCAACAGATCGCAATGTCTCCCTCAAAATCCGGGCAAAACGAAGGAAACCCAGAATCGGAAACCTCAGAATCTCCACCACCAATCGTCGAATCTTCAGATCCCCCCAGAGAAAAGAACAATCAAGAATCCAACGAAGATGGGATTAGCGCGGGGGAGAAAATCGGGGAAGGAGAACGGGAGGAAGAGGAGGAGGAGGAGGAAGGAGAGTGTGGGTTTTGTTTGTTTATGAAGGAGGGTGGGTGTAGAGATACCTTTACGGATTGGGAGAAGTGTGTGGAGGAGGGCGAGAAGAACAAAGAGGATATTGTTGAAAAATGCTTCGGGGTGACTTCTGCTCTGAAGAGGTGTATGGAAGCTCATTCAGATTACTATGCTCCCCTTTTGATGGCTGAGAAGGCTGCTGAGGCCGAGGCCTTGAAAGAATTGGAGACAGAGAAGGAGAAAGAGAAGGAAAGAGAAGAATCTAGTGAAGGAAATACCAAATTGACGGGAGAAGGAGAATCAGAGAGTTCTGAGAAAAAAGAGTCTTGAACTTGGTAATTTAAAGATTGAGCTCTTCTTTATTTTTCATATTATATCCAACTATACAATGGTTTTGGTTAAGGGACAGTTGTGAACTTAATAACATCTATTGAGCGATGTTAAGAGGATATGTGATTCTTTTACTAACATTGATATTTCCAAAGTAATTGAATGATCCATTCACTTGATTTTGTTTTGGAATGATTTGCTGTATTTCATTTACTCCACGGGTTGTCTGTTTTTGTTTACATGTTGGTATGCTTGGTTTGATAACTTCTGCTAATGCTTTAGGGCTTTACTGGCTGTGAGATTTTATACTTGGAAAACTTATGGGCTTAATCTAAACTCTGGTGTTTTTAGCACATAACACCTTAGGAGACACTTTTTAGAAATAAGGGCTGTCTAGTAAGGGCTGGAACTCCAGAAGCATAATGTTAGATCTCTTTTACAAAATTACAAATCTTCAATGTTTCTAGAAGATGATTCTATCACTTTAGGACTTGGGAGACACTAATTAGAAATAAGGTAGTTTTGAATGTAAGTGCTGGAACTCTAGAAGCATAAACTTAAATGTCTTTTACTCTCTAAACTTCATTCTTTTCTTTTTTTCATCCGCCCCAATATAAACTCTTATTTCCTTTTAGGCTTTTATGGAAAAGAAATATGTGGTTCACGAGATTTATCTCTCTTCTACACAACTTTAGGCCACACAATTTTCATTTCCTTAATATGGTGCCAAGTGAAAACAGGAGTTTATTATGGGATGAGGGAGTACAAAATTAGTAATCTTCTTTGTTTTCCACTTTTTTTGTGGTGAAGACGATTCTAACACCTTAGGAGACACTGATCAGTAACTAAGTATGCCTTCATAATCCTAATCGGAGTTGTGATTATCATTCTGAGAAACTATTTTCTGCTCTATTACCAAATAAATGAACAAATCCTTTACAAAACTGTACCCCCTCCCCCTCTGTATGTCTCTTTTTTAGTGTGTGGATATGTCTCTCAGTTCTCTCTACCATTTTGTAAATAAGATCTTATTGATATTCACGTCATGCCACATGTACATTATATGATTATCTGGAACTTCAGCATAACACATTGGTCCCCCCCTCCCCTACATACTACTCCATATCTTACATACTACTCCACATCTTCTTTGTTTTTCCACTTGCTTCAGTCAACCAATAACATGAATGCTTCTTATACTCATTTTTTTCCTTGGTTTTGTTTCCCTTTTTCATTTTCTTTTCTTTTTTTTTCTTGGCTTTGTATCCAACAATTGCTATTAGAGTATAGTACTAGTTCTAAAGATAACCATATCTCATCCATTGCTTTTTGTATCGTCACGGAGAGGTATTCTTTTTGGATTATTTTAATATAAATTAAAAGGTAATGCTAACTGCACAGCCTTTAAGCGTATAGTTAAGACAAGTAAGCCAAGAATTTTGTTTATGATATTCATTGTTATTATATAATGAACTTGTAAGTTTATGTCTAGATCTTGATATTGCACTTGACACTGAATAGAAAGTAGCTAAAAACTAAGGCATAGTGAACAGAGTCATAAATTAAGGCATGCGAGAAGTGTTGCCCCACAGGCTAGTTATAGACTTATACGTAGTAGTAAATAGTCTGTACTCTGTATAGTATACAAAATGCTCTTTTATTTGTTTAAAGATCCCTATTTTAGTATTTTTTTTAAATACAGATATCAAAAAGTTATATTTATATGTAATTAAAATATAATTCCTAAAAAAATTGTGTAATTTTTATTGTATAAAGGCTAGTTATAGTAATTAGCACAAGGTCCTCCTATGGTTTGGGACGGGATTGATAGTGAAAAGAAAAGAGAACATTTTCATTTTTTATTCTATATATATCTTTCTATCTCTTGGCACATACTATCCTCCGTTTTTTTAATCGCAACATGTTGAATTTTATACTATTCAAATCTTCTACTTTGACTACATTTTACGGTATTATTTTACGAAATTAATTTTTTTTTAAAAATATTGTTCAATTCATCTCATTACAAATTTTCAAAATCTGATTTTTAATGATTTTTTACTAATAGAGATTAAGATATAATTACGGTCAAAGACTTGCGTTGGTAAGTGTGAAATGTTGACCGTTGCAACTAAAAAGGAACGAAGGAAGTATATAGTTATGTAATATCATCGAATCATCGCTTTTGCATTGTTGATGTTCTAAAATCTCATTGATGCTCTCTTAATTCAAGCATGCAAAAAAACATGAAAAATGTGCTCATGGCACAAATAAGTACTTTTCATGTCTCGAACAACGAAAAGAGAATAGCAATGTGAAATGCTATGGAAAAAAAAGTACATCCATTGTCTCAAACTCAGAGCCCGTTTGGAGAACTCTGTTTTCGGCTTATCAGGCTTATCAGCCAACTTTTTCACCAAACACGTAACTTTTACTTTCGCGCGCTGAATTGTGTAATAAGCCGAAAAAGTAAGGTTTGAGTTACTTTTCTGGCTGTATTGGCTGAAGTTACTGTAGAGGACCATTTTAGCTATTTTTACATATAATTTTTTCTTTAATTTATTAATAAAATATATTTTTAAAATATTTTTTTCTTAAATCAGCAGAATCAGCCAAAGCAACCACTCCAGCCAGAATATCATAAATTTCAGCAGAATCAGCCAAAACAGCCGATTTTGGTGCTACCAAACGGGCTCTGAATGTCTACTTTGTTGAACTGACAAATCGTGTAGTTCTTCAGTTCTGACCACCGAGAAAAACCAGAAAGATATTGCTCCAACTCCTCCAAGTTGGACTGAAGTGTATAATTATCAGTATGATTGTTTTATCCTAAAAATCGGAATCATGTATTCCTCATAAAAGTAGTTGCTTCTAATTTTTTTTTTTGAAGTAGTAGTTGCTTCTAATTTAGAAAGTAATTTACTCACATTTTAAGGAAAAAATAATGGCAGTCATTTTTAAAGAAATTGTTTATGATCCATTCGTATTTAGCCATTTAGGGAAGTTTCAATAAGATACGGACTGGAATATTGGGAAAAAGGAAAACATAAAAGGTGGGAATGCTTGCAAGAAATATAGTGACATGAAACTACTACCTCAATGTCAATATGAAATTTTAACTCATATTGATTATGGATGCTAAATGTTGATTCTTTCGTGATATACATAGCCACATAGGAGACTCGAGAGTCGACTAAAATTAAACAATGTTTTCTTTGTTTTTGGAAAATTTTTATATGAATCGGGGGATGGAGATCCAATGATTTATATGAGTAGCTGTTGGGCCATGATTAATATGACCCACGAGAGATATATCGGCCCATAATGAAAGAAATTCACATAAAGGAGTAAACGCCCAGCAATATGCGGATAACTACGAAGCATAAGTAGGGGTGGACTCGGGCCGGGTGGCCCGGCCCGGTTACTGTTTGAACCGGCCCGGCCCAGGAACCGGTCCAGGAGGCGGTTCGGGTCGACCTGGCCCGGTAGGAATGCGGTTCGGGCTCGGGCCCTAGGATTGGTGAACATGCCCGGCCGGTTCGGGCCCGGTCCGGGCCAAATTAGTTTTTTGTTTTTTGAATTTTTTGAATTTTTTTTAAGTTTTTGGGTTGGGCTGGGTATTTTGGGCCATTTGAGGTGGTTTGGGGGTGAGGGGGAGGGTTGGGGGTTAATTAGGAAAAGCCAAAAAGAAAAATAGAACCGAGGCCCGGCCCGGACCCGGGGTTACCCGGGCCGGTCCGGGCCTCCCATTCCTGAACTGAGGCCCGGCCAGGCCCAGGCCCGAACCGGGCCCGAACCGGGCCGAGTCCACCCATAAGCATAAGGGAAGGATAAAATGTGGAGATAAGGTCAATTGGGAGAGGGCTATTTGGCCGGTCAATTGAACCAAGGATCTGGGGAGTGAATTTTAGTTTAAATAGAATAGCCAATGTAAATGTAAACACACGATCACATATATCAAAAATACTCTACACTCTGTATTCGAATATATTATTCAAGCTATTCAATGTTTTTATTATCAATAAATTTATATTTCTTCTTCAATTCGATCATTATCAATCCTGCTTTGTTCGATGACCTTTTCAATCATATTCTTAGATTAGTTAATTTCTAGTCAAAACAATAGCATTGTGAGTTAATTGTGGGCGTTTACAAAAAAAATGAATTTATGAAACTGAAACATCAATCATAATTTATTGAAAGTTATCCAAAATAAGAAAAACACATATGGAGTATAATTGTACTCCCTCATTGTTCAAACTTTGAGTTATTTTGTGTAGAGCATTGAATAGTCTCATAATGTCCTTCCATTATTCTTGTTTTAAGGGTATGTGTTACGGTGTTAGTTAGTCTTGAGCCTGTCCACACTTATGAGGGGTGAAAACCTCAAATGGGAGGTTTTCATCACAAAATAGGTGCAACGCAGCCACTTTTTTTGTATACAGAGGTCATAAAATGATTACAAAGAACCGAGGGGGTGTGTCCGTCACATTCACCTTGGCCCCATTCACTTAACATACACATAAGATAGAAGATGGGACATCAACAATGACGCGCGCAGAGGAAAGAGTGGATGAGAGAGGTGTGTGCGGCTTCCTTGCTTTCCATGCGGTTGGGTTTTCCTTCGCCTAACCTAGGAGGATCATGGATTTTCATATGCATATTGGGCCGTCTTTTAGGAGGTGCAATAGGTATTTGGCACCGGGCCCACTCTTATAGGGGCCTCCAAAAAATTAGTATGTAGTAGTAGTTATATGTCGATTTTTGTGAATGTTATGTATTATTCCACATTTCGAAAGGTCTATAACTTTTAGATTGTCTAATTTGTGAAACATTACAAAACTTATATTTCACTAAATTGTGTAGTCTATTTGTATTTTATTAAATTTTGTATCATTTCTTGTTTTAGGGGCCCCAATTCGTCATTTAGAACCGGGACCTCCAAATTCATTAGACGGCTCTGCTAATTCATATTTTTTAGTTTTTAACATCGGAATATTTGGTTTTTTAATCATAATTATTGATAAAAATAAAATAATCACATAAATGATGTGTTGTAAAAAAGGTAGGATTAATACATTCAATTTAAAAAAAAAATGTGCTGAGTGAATATATTGACGGTGTTGGGTTGAGTTGGGTTGAGTGAATGTGTATAATTACACTTCTTGAAGTACACTTCTTGAAGGACTGGATTGTCGTTAACCATAGAGCACCAACAATGATCAGGTGGACTTGATTCGATTCCAAGACCGCCTTTTAAAG